AGAAATTCAGTGTGCAGGGCAATAAAATATAATGTGCACTTTATGGAAAGAATAATATCATTTACCAATAAATCACTAATAATTGGAAGGGAAAAGACTTTTAATACTTTCCTACAATACCTTCACACTAACAATATATTCATTACATTTTATGATCAAGTGTCTTTGTAAGTATTGGGAAAGGCCCCACAACGGATTTGTGCTTATTTCTAAAATCAGGCACTTTGCCACAATAGACTGCGACAGTATTTCAAACAGGCACTTCAGAGAAAATCAAAGGACTCTAACTAGTGCAAATGGAGAGAGATGCAGTGCTGTCAGTTAGAGAGGGGGCCCATGCCACAAAATTCAGATCAGGATTTGATCCACATTTCTCAGTTCTCCCTCCAAAATTTGAGGTTTTTGGATAAGGGGATTCAGTTGGGCTTGTTATAAACAGAGTCCCTAATTGTGAAATACAAAGCCACAGATTTTAAGTCACCAAAGTTCATGCATTCTTATTCATATTAATCTTTTTCTTAATTATTATTTTAATAATGTGCCCAGCACCATAAAGGCTAATGCTGCCCCAAAGAGCTCACCATTTAATATGCTGACAGAAGAGGCCCGGGGAAACCCTTAGTAAGCAGGAACCAGATTCTGCCACGGTTAGTAACCTTACTCTGTGATCAGACCTATTGGGCTAGACTCTCAGCTGATGTAAAACAGCGCTGCTCCACTGAAGTCAACGTTGCTAAGGGTGGAAGAATCTGGCTCCAAGTCTGTGTGCTCGTTCCACAGTGAAGTAAAAACGCCTAGGAGATTATAGCTAACTTGTAACAAAGGTAATAGCTAATGTTCCTCTGGCCATTTCTCTTTGGAAGGGGGAAGGGGATAGTGTGCCATAATCAAACACTAGACGAAATCACACAGAGAAGATTTTTTCAAGCAGAATAGGAGGAAGCATCATCATGTATCATAGGGCTAACTCTTAAATATAATTTACAATACAATAAAAGTTTAATTGCTCAAGACATTGCCAGGATCAGTATTTTGGAAAACAGTTTGGATACAGTGGAGGCAGCAGAAGTAAACAGGGGAAACCAGATTAAATTTTTTAAACAAACTGTAACCCCTTGGCAGAGCAACGTTCTTTATTAGAGGAAAATGTGATTCTCCACAGAATAATTATTCACTGAAAATCATGCATGAATAATGACAAAGGCAGAAAACCATCCTCAAGTAGTAGTATAGCCTCTTTCAGCCCATGGGGAAATTATCAGAACCACTCAGGGAAAACCTATTCTTGTAGAATGAGCATACCAGGTAGGGCAGATATTGCAACAGTAAATCTTCCCATCGGCCTATGCTTGGAAAGAAAAGCACTAGAAAGCTACCTCCAATGTGGTGCAGCCAGCAAACAGCTATTTTGTGAGCCCAGAACCTTAGACTCCAGCCAGAAACAAGGATGTTCCCCATCATAAGACAATAAACTATCTCCACTAAATTTTTTCTGCTGCAATTAAATTGTTAATACCTTAGGGAAAGATCCTTGCCATACTTTACACCTGTAAAGTGCAATTCACACCCACAACATGATTTTGATCTCACTTATAGAGCCAGGCAGGACATATTTTCCCCATCCCATGAATATTTTCTAGAGTTCAAAATTTCTTCCCATCTTAAGTCAGGACGAAAACTCTACATCTCAAAAATATTCATGAACTGTTCTACTCACTTAACCAGTGTAAATCAGAAATAAGTGGAGCTGGCCCACTGTGTAAAACCTGTATAAGTGACATCACAATTAGGCCCCATATAAATCAATGAAGTCTTGGTGACAGATTTCTCAGAAAAGATTTTGATTTTAGTTACCTTTGGACTTTAATCCCCTTTCTCCCCCGCCCTCCATGTTTGCTTTCTTTGATGTTCTTGAATACTTGCTGTGCTGGCTTTAGAGAGAATGTTCAGATACTTCACAAACTACACTAGTGTATATGAAGGTAACATTGCTACCTGTGAGCTTATTATAATCTTGATTTTCGTGAGGATTATTCTTTCCTACTTTGGATTCTGGCTCAGCTTTTTTATTTTATCTCATTCTCTTTTTGTGGGACTTGTGGCCAATTTCCCTGCCACACCTTGTGGCAGTAATTGTGACTAAGGGACATTAGAAAACGGACGGTATTTTATTGTCCTTCTGCAGGACATGTGTATATTCTGTTTTTTCCATTAAGTTTAATGATACATTCTTATGGTTTTCTGTAAAAATCAGTAACACGGTTTATAAAAACAAAAAACAAAAACAAAAGCCCCACTACAACCCCAAAACAGATATCAGTGCTATATACATTCAGATGCAAGTTAAATGGCCTTCAGAGACCACATATAGCAGATTCCTAAACAAGGGATGAAATCCTGGCCTCTCAGAAGTCAACAGGAGTTTTGTCATTGACTACAGTGGGGCCAGGATTCTCACAAAGATATTTAATGGATGAAACAACCGATGTGTAAGAAATAGCAGTAGGTAACATCCTACTTTCCAACAACTCCACAGCTTTTTGTGCTATTAACTGATACTAAATTATTATAGGATGTTCTTAGAACACAGCACGATAGCTGGATGCCTTGCAATACTGAAAAATACTAACACATTTTTGGAGAGCATGGTTTTCTGCCTTGTAAATTATTAAAAATAAATCAATGAGCTTATTAAATCCATCATTTAAGATTATGAAAGAAATCCGTTTAGGGAAAGGGATGCTGCTTACATTTATCTGCTCTCTGATTATCATCACCATCATCTGTCAGTAGCAGCTGAACTGGAGATGAGCATGAGAAGGTGGGATGGATCTGGCCAGCCTGCAGGTTTTGCTGGTTTTGGTGAATTCTGGGTTGTACGTCAGGCAGAAGCTTCCCCAAGGGTCACTAAAGTTTAAAAGGCCTGATTCTCACTTACACAAACCTCCCTCTACACCACTTGGATCCTAAAATGGGGGTAATTTTTATACCCTTTGTTTAACTGGGAATCTGGTCCTGCTGAGAACAGACCAGCAGGCCTAGTGGTCCAGGTACCAGGTCTTGATGCACTGCATGGAGGCACAGGGTGAGCCCTGAACAGGAAATCCACCTGGAAGGAGCAGCACTGCATTCCTTACAAGTAGGAGGAAAATAGGTTAATGAGCTGGTCACTACCCTCCAACAGACTGAGTAGGCAGGTAACAAGCTGTTAGCAAATAGCATTAACCAAACTGTTACAAAACTTCAGAAAGGTTTTATTTAAGGGACGGGTAAATATTCAAGATGATATTTTAATTTAACTGAACCTGTTCACTTGTTCTGAGTGACGGGTAGAGGAAGGGTTAAATTTTGCCTTCAGACAGACATGAATATAATCCATAATGTTCACTCAGGGTCTGATTTTGACCTCACTTACACCAGTTTTACATCACTGTAACTGCACTGATTTACATCTGTATAAGTGAGAGGATGATCAGGTCCTGTGTGCAACACTCCACTGGGAGAATCTGCATTAGTTAATTTTGCACATCAAACAGGAAAGCACAAGATATAATTCACAAAGAAACCACCTCCTATTGCGATGTGACTGGTAGTAATTCTCCATCATCTGCTTCCTATGCCCTATCCTACATCAACCTAAGTAACATACTGTGGACTAGGTGATTTTAGGCACAACCCTGATGTGGGCTGTGTAACTGCACCACCCCATCGAGAGGCCCTCTGGAAGCACTGTGTCCCTGAGAACCCCTCGGATTCACAATTCCTTCCCTTCCTTCCTCATTGCTCCTAGGGTGTGGTCAATACAGGGCCGGCTCTAGGCACCAGCAAACCAAGCATGTGCTTGGGGCGGCACATTTTCAAGGGTGGCATTCCGGACATCTTTTTTTGTTCTTGTTGTTGCTTCAGGCGGCAAAAGCCTAGAGCAGGCCCTGGCAGCAGCAGCGTGTCGCGCCCTGGGGCCACTGCGGTTCGCGCCACAGGGGAACAGCGCCCGCACCAGGGCTGGGCAGGCTCCTAGCGGGGGACACTCGGGCTGGAGGGACCCTGGGCTGAGGCGCAGCCTGGGAGCCCCGCTGCTTACCCCGACCCTGCTAGTGCTGGACCGTCTGGAGGCAAGCGGGGAGCGGGCGGAGTCAGCACTGATGGAGGAGAGCCCAGCGCTGGGGCAGCAGGGGGTGTGGGTGGGGTGGGGTGAGGGGGAGAGCCCAGCACTGGGGCGGCAGGGGGTGCGGGTGGGGTAGGGTGAGGGGGAGAGCCCAGCACTGGGGTTGCGGGGGGGGAGGGCACTGCTGGGGGGCAGTGAGAGCCCAGGGCTGGGGTGGGGGGCAGCCAAAACTTTTTTTCCTTGGGGTGGCAAAAAACCTAGACCCGGCCCTGGGTCAATGCCTGCTGGCTTTTACCAGCAGCAAATTAGCACATACACCACTCTGGCTCACTGGGGGCTTGGCACTAAGCTCTGCCCATTCCCCATTCCTCCCCGACCACCAACTCCAAGGAGAGACTAAGAAGGGGTACCAGTGCTTACTTCTGAGATCCTAGCCCCAAGGTGCAGCTAGCTCATATAGGAGTACCGGGGATGGGGAGAGAGACTCTTACTCCCCTCAAAGCCCGTGCAGGACAAACCATAATTTAGCCCTACCTTATTAATATGACATCAAGAATGGATCCAAGAAAAGGAAATGATTTTCTGCCTTGCACGTGAACTCTGCTTATTTAAAATTAGAATTTTAGCCACAGGAAGCAAGTTCCAAGAATCTTCTACTTGATGCGCTTTTCTGCACATATGCTGACTTGACTATCCCCATAAATATAGAATGCCACCATTCTGCCAGGAAATTTTCATGCAGCATCCATGAACAATTCAACAAATCAAAAATAAAACCAGTTTATATACATATTGCTTGAGTCCTCTTTATTAATATTACCCGCTTTTGAGTAAACCCATTTTAAATATGTCTTGTACGTAAATTCTCCAATGTTTATATAAAACAGAACTGTACCTTGAATGTATCTGCGCTGTTGGGATTAAACAGCTGGTGCTTCCCAGATCCCAGAATAATAGGACCAGAAGACTTGTTTTCTCCATAAGCGTAAAGGGACACTGTTGCTGTTGTGCCAGCTGTTTGGAAGCCCCCAGTGACTACAGTAATCTTCCAGTCTCCTTCTGCAGAGTAAAAATAAAATGGAAACACTTTTATCACAGTAACTGCTATGTGGCTGGGGAGCTGCCTACTGCAAATCATGCATGACCAAGTCCAGGGGACTGTAACTATTGTGCACCTGAGAAGCAATGGTGTTTGGAGACATGCTGGCTGAATTGCAAAATAATGTTAGCAATTCAGGTTCAGCTTGGATAAGGATCCAACAGCTCAGATGCTTATCTTGGCCTCTCCTCAAGTCTCAAAGTTTGGCTGGAAATCTCATGAGAACTGGCTGCTCTCTTGAGATTTCTGGCAATTTCCCACCTGGAGCCTCTGTGATAGATGTGGGGGGATCCTTTCCTGCAGGATTTGGATCAGAATCCTCCTGGCTGCTGTCCATAAGTTCCATAGAAACAAAAAGTATCAGAACTTTTCAAAACCTTTACAAATATTTGAATTAAGTCAAAATTATCCTCATCTTGTCTCCTTATCCCTGCCCAAATATTAGTGTGTCATGTAACCAAGCACTCTAGTTGCCAGAGGGAAAGTGTGGGATGGAGATCATCTGTGAGTGGATCTCTATGTTAAAGGAAAGGTCCACAAAAGTTTGTGAGCCACTGATATAAGGCATCCCTGATCTCTGTAAACTTTAATGCCAATTCTTCTGCAATACACTGCATACGTTATATAAATATCTGCAATCGGCTTAATACAAATCTCATTAAGAAGAGCAATTCACAAAGAGAAATTGTGCTCCTACATCTGAGAAGCAGGAATCATGAGCTCTCTGCCATTTCTTTTATTGTGGTTTTTGTCCGTGTGTGTGTGTGTGTGTGTGTGTGCGCGTGTGCGCACGCAACAGGTTCCACCTAGTGACTTTAATTCATTTTGGAGAAAGCAAAATAAAATCCTAGCCCACAGACTTGTTGTAGATAAACGCCATGGTATACACTGCAGTTTTATTAATAAAAAGCCTTAGGTTTGTTAATTGCCACATGAGTCAAGACTCAGGAATCAGACCAAAATGCTTTATTTTGGGCAATGGTTCTACTTCAACCTGGGGGAGGAGTTGGGATAGGGAGTGTGATCTCCTATTTTCCATGCCAGTAAGAGCTGCGTTCCCACTGAAAATGATAGAATAAGGACCTCACAGGAGAGTTTCAAACACACGAGGGAAGCTAAAGACCCAGTTCCCATTGAAAGGCAATGGGTGTTGGACAGCTAACTAACTCCCCTTCGTGCCTTTGAAAAATTTTCCCCTCATGTCAATTTCTAGAGACCCACTTTCCTAGCAAAGAAACCACATTTATAGGTGGCAGGAGATACATTCACCTCCATTGGAGGAAGGATTATCCCCCAAATACTGAAGGTAGAAGAATTAAGGAGGTGAAAAGGGGGATTCTGAAGGACTCCCTACTCCAACACTCAGTGTATAAGACTATTTTTAAAAATGAAAATCTGCCTTTTCTATTTCCCAACAATGTAATTTTACTTTTCAGAAAGCCCAGGTTACTTTGGGGTCATTTGGCTGGCAAAGAAAGGAGTCTCATCACTTAAGAGATAATATGACAAATAAAGAACATTATTGACAAGATATAAAATGCAGCATGTTGTACCCTTAGTTCAAATTCTGAGTTCCAAAATTCTGTGGAAAGACACTGCAGTGCTAAATTTTAAATGTGCTAAAAAATATTGTTTTGCCTGGATTTCTATGTTGCCTCAATTATAGTGTCCCAAAAGTCTTTCCTCCTACATTCTAAAGACTGCTCATCATGTTAGTATGATGTTAATACAGAACTTTCTCCTAAAATCTCTTTGGTGGTGTGGGATTGTTGTGCTTGGGTTTGCGGGGGGGGGGGAGGG